CATCAATTCCCATAAATCTCCATATTTTTCTGCATGCCTACATGTCCATATTCATTTGTTGTCTCATTCAAATCAAACATCATCATATAAGCTCATCTTAGGATCCTTTCTGCACTGTGATTCCTCACCAAACCCTTACAACATAACCCAGAATGTATTCACTTTAAAATACCTTCAGTCTTAAACAGATGTCTCAACTGTTCATGCAAACATAAAAACATTTTCCACACCATTACATTTACATAAGAGGTTTAATGCTACTGTTGACTGGCTTTGGGTATTTAATGCAGAAGTTAAAGCGAATCAGGGTGTTTTGATGCACAGATGTGAACTTGCAAGATGTGAGAGCATTAAAGTAGCTGTGTCCCGACGCATTTTAGAGCTTTAAATCTATAAACTATAAGTTTTCACTTTATTCGACTGATTAAATCCAAAAACACTCTGCTTATATTAAAAAGGCATTTCCTACTAGTTTATTCATGTAGCTTGATATTCAAAATAATTGGGTTTTAATTTGAGGATTAATCCTCCTGTTGACAAGCTGTTTAATGTAAAGCAGGAAAGTGTGATCCTCTAAGTAGGTGGAGCCATAGGTAAGGCTCAGAGGTTGGTAGAGTAGGAGCAGAACTAATTTAATATTTTTATTTTACTTAAGTAAAAGTAGGAAGTAGTAATCCAAGAAACAAGAGTAAAAAGGGATTGATAAAAAGGCAATTCAATAGCTGAATATTTCACACAATACTGTCTGATAACATCTGATTTAATGTTTAGAAATGATGCAGTCAAACAGACTTTAAGTGAAAGTTCTGTTATTTCAAAGACTTAAATACATAAGAATACAAATAAATAACATGACTAAATAAAAAAAAAAAATGCTTTTCTAGTCCATTATTTTCCAAAATAAAAAAAGCTTTACAATATTCTAAAAAAGTAAAACAAAAAAAAACAATCCTATGGACTTTGTTTCCAAGTTTGAAGACGTTTCGTTTCCCATCCAGGAAGCTTTTTCAATTAAAAATGTCAAAAATAGCATTGAGCCACAGGCTTTATAGAGTGAACCAATAACAAAGCCTGGTTTTTCCTTGGAAAACACGCAAATTGAACCGACGAGCGGATCCAACCCTTTACAATGGGGGTGGTTTGGTTTCTTTGTTAGCCTGCAATACCCCATACCTGTCTATGTCTCTGAAAGGGGGGTCATTAAAGGGAATTATTGGCTTAGCTTATTAGACTAAGTGATCTGTTCCCCTGTAGTTGACAGTGTCTTCTATTGGTTGCTGTTTTTTTCACCTGATCTCCAAATAGTTCAAGTTACTCATAGAGGGCAGAGGAGCCAGGAATTTTACCTAAGAAGGACTAGGGATATTTCACAAGTAAAATTAAGAAGTACTTACAACTATTTTTAGTTAGTGTTACTCATGTAAATGTAACTGAGCAAATCTAAGTAGTTACTACCAAACTATGCTAAGGCTTGTGTCTGAAACAGCAACAGCTGGTTTAATATGGCAGAGGAATAGTAACCAAAGCTGTAAATGAACAGATTACGCCACAGGTTAGAAATTCAATTTAATTCAGTTCATTTAATTTATAAAGCACCAATTCACAACACAAGTCATCTCAAGAGACTTTACAATTCAACCAGATCATACAGTCCAATTGATTCAAATTTTTCTATGGAAAACCAGTCGATTGCATCTACCCATTGACTCGAAAGCAATCCCTCACACCAAGCATGCTTGTAGCGACAGTGGAGAGGAAAAACTCCCTTTTAACAGGAAGAGACCTCCAGCAGAACCAGACGCAGTGTGAGCGGCCATCTGCTGAGGCCGACTGGGGTTCAAAGAGACAGAAGCATAGATAGAAAAAGAAGCAGAGATATAAAAGGCAACTGTAAACTAGCTCTGCAGGCGTCCCCATCCAGGAAAAACACAGCCAGACAGACGAGCTCCGAGCCAGCTCCCATGTCAGAGGATGAAGAGAGCACATCCAGTTAGTCACAGTCAGAGAAACAGGACTACACTGAAAAACATGCCAATCTCCAACATCTATAAACAAAGGTTTTGATGGCAGCAGCACAGTTGATATTTCAGCAAGACAGCAATATAATGTGAAAGGAGGGGAAATAACTTATTGCCAAAGAATTATTACATATTTCTCCCAGACAGTTGTATAAAAAACTTACATTCCTTGCCCGTGGTGGTAATGCACCTCTAAGTTGTCTGCTGTAGCCTGCATAATTTCAGTTGTTTGTGTTTTTGGTTTTGTATTTGTGATGAGGTTTTATTCTTAGTGTTGTGTCTTTTCATATCTGTTGTGGCTTTGGTATTTAACCTGACACTTCTAGGCCACTGTTGAATGAAACTCACTAAAATTAGATGAAACTTTCTTTTCTATTCTTATTGCCACATTGCCAGACAGGACACAGTTAAAAAAAAACAAAAAAAAAAAAACTTTATTTTTCATTTTTTCCCCTCTCAAAGTATTTAAAATGTTGGCAGTGCATTGACATATGGATGTTACCTGTTCACACGGTGCTTCCACAAGTCCTGCACAATGGGCTCTACAACAAATGCAAACAGATGTGACAAAAATCCCAGTGAGTTAGAGTGTTGCTCAAGCTGCCGCCAACCATTCCACTCATACTCCTCAACTCTGCTATGTGAGCTGTGCCGTGGAAGACTAGGAGGTGCATTCACTTTATCCCTATTCTGCCTTGGGCATAAATGAAAGTGAGAATGTTACTTACGAAAGCAGATGTCACAGACCAATGCACTTCTTGATCCCACTAAGTCCACTGAATGACAGCTTCATGTTGGTGAAGTTCATTAATGTGCTTGATCTTCCTATCAATCACAGATATAATGAGTGAAAACTGACAGCTAATGGCTGCATTGGGGTTCTTGATGATCACCTCCTGGCACCATTGTATTTGGTGATAGGTGCAGAAACAACCTCCCTTTCCATACACGGTATAAAGTTACACATTTACGACAGGATGAAGCTGCAACTGGCCAAAAGCTAGGCATAAATACACAAGACATGTCAGAGACAGAATGGAAGTGGCCAAAAGTCTAAGCAGAGATGCCCATCTGAGTGAAGTTGGCCCCCCCACCTTCTTCAAATCAGAGAAGAATTTGTGTTTGTGCTACGTTTGTGCTGGTTTGTGCAGTAAAGATTTTTGTTTGTGCCGCTATTGTTTTAAAGATATAAAGAAACATTTCTAGAGGTCATCAAAGCTCAACCAGCCCCCCCACCTTATTCAAAGCAGACGAAATAGGTGTCAATTAACTTAGTTCCGTTTGTGCTGGTTTGTGCAGCAAAAATTTTCGTTTTTGCTGCTTTGGATTTGAAGATTTGAAGAAAGTGGGGGGGGGGGCTGGTTGACCTTTGATGACCTCTAGAAACATCTCTTTATATCTTTAAAATGAAAGCGGCACAAACGAAAATTTTTGCTGCATAAACCAGCACAAAAGTAGCACAAACGTTTGACACCAAATTTGTCTAATTTAAAGAAGGTGGGGGGGCCAACTTCACTCAGGTGTGATACCTAGACTTCCCCCTCCCCAGACACTTGCTCCAACTCTTGGAAGGTGAAACTCTACCCCCTAACATTACATTTAGTCCAGCTTCACTCCACCATGGGTGCTTATGTCCACTCACTCTGCTTCTTTGCCATGCAGAGCCCACAGGAGATCCAAGGAGCATGCTCAGACCGTGTATTTAAAGCCACAGAGAAACGTGAAAGTCAGATCATAATAACTCCTCCTAGGTGACCAAGCTCCTCACCCTATCTCTACGGAGGTGCTCAGCCACCCTACATGGGAAGCTCATTTCACCTAATTGTATCTGGCATATCTTTCTTTCTGTGATGACCCATCAGGGAGTTTAAGAAAGTACATGGAGAGGTAAATTAAGAGCTTTACCTTTTGACACAGAACGATGCAGAGTCCCCATTTGCCAAACCAATCTGTTGATCTTCCTCTTTCTTCTTCCCTCACTTGTAGAAACATACAACTTGAACTCCTCCACTTGAGGCATTAACTCTCCTCCACCTTTTTCTAGTTGAGTAATCATGGACCTGGAGGAACTTATAATATAACTATTATATTAGTACACTAATAACAACTCAGTTATAAAGCAATTAATTTAACTTCACACTAAAGGCTTTAATTTGATTGAACAACTGATTTAGAAAAAAGCAAAAACAGGCTGTTAATATGCAGATACAAAACCTTAGACCCATGAAATATTTGGGTTTGAAGAAGCAACAGGAGAACATTAAGGATCCCATCCCAGTAAGAAATCTAAGCTTGAAATGGAAACCAAGGCAACCCTTGGCCTTGGGATTTTCATTGTCAATAATGAGACCTGAATTTCCATCCTTGAAGGAAATTTCAGATTAGATGAACTAACCACATTAATAAAGCTCTGAGGGGAAGCTCCTGATTTAACATTTAAAGGTATAGTGGAGGATTTATTTTTTCAAATTTTGAAACGAACCACCCTCTCCACTTAAAAAAAAGTACATGTATAACCCTTTACCGGCTCAAGAGAAAGAGCCCCATTAAACACGTTCAAAAGTGTGCACAAGCGCATTTCTCCTCATGCACGCTCTATTTAAAAGTTGCTGTTTGCATCGCTAATACAAGCTTACTTTCCAAAAGAAGATTTGCAATGTTTCCACAATCTGAGACACACCACCAGTAAGTGAAAAAGGGGAGGAGCACGTCTTAGGTAAACCAGGATGATTGACAGTAAGGATGACTACTTATTTTAATGATCCACTAAGAAAAAGAACATCCTCCATTATACCTTCAAGTCAAAGGCCAGCCGCGCAGCACAATTATACCCAATGTTGGGATCTGGAGATCTGCCACCTTCCTCCAGCAGAGGGCGCCCTGGGTCTCCTGAGCTGTAGCCACCTGCACACCTGAGGCTGATCATCCCATCAGGAGACAAGCTTTTTAAGCAGCGGCTTGACTTCCCTTCAGTGCCAGAGTGTTAGACCAGTTATGGTTAGCAGAACCTGAGCCAAGCCTGCACATCTGAATCTCTCATTACTCAGAGGAGTAACCTAGAATCCTAACCAGTCTTTGTCCTCTCTGCTTCTTAGGAAGACCTGATTGAAGCCTGGAGCTCTGGAGGAGCTCATTTTTGGAAACCTGCCTGCCTGCCCTGAGAAGCAAAACCTGAAGAATCTCAGTCTGCATCTGCCTGCCAGTTCTCAGGAGAGAACTTTGAGAAACACTCAAGGTCTGAACCTCACTAGTCTGAAGCCAAGCTCTGCCGCTGCTAAGCTCTCTGCTGAACCCTCAGTCTCTGGACCCAACTGGTTCCCTCTCTCCACCGCTCAGCCTGAACCACATCCGGTACAACTCAATATCAGACTCTGTCAAGAGTACCCAGCTTCCTGGCTAACCAAACTGTCCCTCTCTGCAGAGAACCCTGTGAATCCAGTCCTGGACCTGTACCCGCATCAGTGCAAACTAATTATCTTGTGCTTTCTTTCAATAAACTGTTGAAACTTTTAACCAGTCTCTGTGGTGTTCTGCATTTGGGTTTAACTCCTAAGACACAACATGAAACCCAAACAGACTGATTAAAAATTCCCTTATTTTAATCAAATGCCTCTCTGTTATTGAAAAAGACCATTTCATAAATAATCAGGTGCCACCAATCATGCATTTCAGTGTATTTTATTCATCATAGAACAGGTTTCTGTGTAAAGGAACAAAACTGAGGACATCTTGATTTTGTGGTTATATCACTTAAGGGAGACCACTGCAGCAAAACCAGCTTCAGAACATCTGCTCTCCCAGCCTCTGATAATGAAAGGATTTTGTCAATATCCTATTAATTTAATATCATATTAAATAAACAGGTTAGGGTCCTAAAAATGTCCTTTTTTAAATGCTCAGTTATATGAGGGCAAACCTGCAACCTAAGACGGCGTGCATAAACATATTGAAAGATATTAAGGCTGTTGCCTTTTTTATCTGTTTTTTTTTTTTTTAGTGAACATGACAGATCTATGGTAGAAAAGCTTAGTATGAAAATGTTACAGATGTTACAGAGATTTCATCAGATCAGAACTCTGAAAACACCAAGTTACTACATAGTCAGATTCAAAAGATTAAAATGCTATTGAAAAATTGACATCAGAGGGAAAACCCTTTTGGATCTAGCTCAGTTTTCTATAATGAAGATGGATGGAAAGACTGATGATTGTTCCCAAACATCTAGTCTGGAATTGATTTGTGTTGTTGAGCCATCAGCCAGTTTCAGCTCAGGAGAGGGTAATGATGCTGATGAATATGAGGGCATCACAGAACCATCCAGAGTATACCTCAAGTATGCCTAAAGTGCTAATATGACTGCATATATTAGACCTCACAAAATTATAACCAGTTATTAGTTTATAAAATATAAATTAGTGTATAATGAACATCATTTTCAAATAAATCCCCCACTGCGTTTTGAAGAAATAATCTACTCTATTCTTAAAGGTAGAGCTAGGAACTCCACCCGCCCAACCCATAAACAATGTGAACACTATCGCCTCAAAAAAAAAAAAAAACTGCATTAAATCCTCTGAAACTTCTGTTAAAACCACTAACCTATAAAACACCTAATCAGAATGCAGAAGTGCAACCTTCTATCATGAAGTTAGCACATGACTGCAGTACTACAGAAGCTAACATCAACTTTAGATCATCATCTTGAATATCTGCACTCTATGATCTTAGATCCACATCAGCCTCTGGTACTTTTCTGAATATTTTCAAATTTCTCTTACTTCAAAATCATATCAGCTCTGATATGAAGCTGAAATTGTAATCGCTGGAAGTGACATGGGCAGATTCTTCATAACAATTTGTCAGTGTCTGATTCAAGACATTGACAAACTTTTTTTATGTATATATATATATATATATATATATATATATATATATATATATATATATATATATATATATATATATATCAATAACGATATATATCAATCGATAGACGTGTGGCACAATAGAAAATAAGAGAGTCGATAAAAGTTCGATAAAGAAACACAGTTTTCCTTCCTTCTCATTGTAGCCTATAATGTAGGTTTATGCTAGTCACTACTTCTTCCCAACCAATCGCAATCGCGGACCCAGGCACGCCGTCACAAAGGACCGCCCTCTCAAACCACAACACAGAGCGCATGAAGGAGAGGTGGAGGAAATTGTTCCAAAGAAGGGTTTTTGTAGTTCGCCAGTTGGCAGTATTTTACGGAGCCCCTCTGATGACATGGTCAAAAAAAAATGTTTAATTGTGGCCACGAAGTAGTATTTCGTGCGCACGAAATACTACTTCGTGGCCACGCAATAAGTTTAACGTGCGCACAAAATACTACTTCGTGGCCACGCAATAAGTTTAACGTGCGCACGAAATACTTATTAATAATATCAATAAATCCGCCCCTGTTTTCAGGCTTATGTTAACTGTAATGACTTATCTTGGTGAGGCTGCTATGTAAACGGGCCTTTAGTCCTTTGTTTAGCTATGCTGCGGTTGTTTACACTACGCCTTTTCCACCTAAAATGGCGTATTAGCAACAAATGTCACGTGACTGGCGGAGACCGACTGGGTAAGCAAATCGAGCGCGCCTTAGACCTTAGAGAAGGCGCGCTCGATTTGCTTACCCAGTTGTCCAGGAATGATATTAGTATTGTTAATAAGTATTTTGTGCGCACGTTAAACTTTAAAAAATAAAATAAATTTTTTTTTGACCATGTCATCAGAGGCTAAAGGGTGAGTTGATTTGGGTTTTTGTTTTTGTTGAGTGGAGTTTACATGGTAGCCTAGTCCTACAATCTTTTAATTACCACAAGCTGGTTGTGTACTATTCCCACCCAAATAGGGTATTCTATTTATTTATTTGTTATATTTATTTTGGTCACTTTTCTGGTCACTTTAGTTTATTCTTTGTCAGTATTTAATAACATAACTCAGGTCTCTTAAGTTATTTTTCTTTAAAACAATTCTGTTATGGTTAAAAAAGTTGGTTAAATAAATATTTAATTGGAAGTCTGTGTTTGTGTTCTTTATTAAAATTAAATCATTTAGCAATATTATAAAAAGTCCAGGCAGAGCTGCACATAAAATATGGTTTCAAATCTTTTCAATAATTATCGATATCGATCACTATGCATTTTTTTTAATCGATAAGCTTTTTTTCTATATCGCCCAGCCCTAATATACTGTATATATATATATATATATATATATATATATATATATATATATATATATATATATATATATATATATATATATATATATATATATATATATATATATATATATATATATATATATATATATATATGTTGTGAATTGGCATTATTCAAATAAACTGAAATTAATTGAATCAATTCAGTAATAGAATAGACTAGAATTCAACTTTATTGTCATTACACTCTCACAAGTACTAAGCAAAAAAATGTAGTTTGTATCTATCCAGCAGTGCTTTACAGGATGTAAATATTTTTTTACATGTGGACAGAGACTATGCATGTATGGACTAAAAATGGTATATATAAACAAAGAGTAATAGTAAGAGGCTATAAAATAAATAAATATGTAAGCTAAATATGGATTATACAGGAAAATTAGGATATTATACTGTATTTATATTAGTGGGATTACAATACAGGATAAATAATGACAGATATTATTAGATAAAAGATTTATAGATTATATACAGCTATACTGTAGCTGAGTAGTATGTGTAAGTCAGAGGTAACTTCATGGGTACTGAGTCACAGGACAGGCTACCAATACTGACCTATCAACTGGAGGGGTAAGCATTCACCTAAACTTCATAGATAATAAACATATTTCTGTTGTTTCTTTTCATTTCTAATTTGCTTTTAGATATTGTCATTTTGAAATGACTATAAATCCTTAAATATTATAAACTATTGATACGCTAAAATGCTCTAGAGATGATAAAAGAGCAGCATGATAAAATAAAAGTTCAAATTTAGTCCACTGGTGAGTTGTCCTGTCTCCAGATGATGCTGTGGGCACCCCATGTGGTCCTTGAGGGCCCCTTGGTGCATGATGGTGACCCCTGGTGGAAGTGATGCTGGATCCATAGGTTGCTGTGTCTCTCTGTGGAGCGGCAGTTTTCACCACCCTCTGCAAAGCCTTCCCTTCTGAGGCAGAGCAGCTCTACACCAATCCATGACACAGGTGGCTGGGAGGCTGTCAATGGTGCAGCGGCAGACGTTCGTAAGGATCTCTGAGGACAGATGGTTCTTCTTCAGGATCCTCATAAAGATAAGTTAGACTTTAGTGATCTTACAGTGGAGAAATTTACTTGTCACATTGGCTCAATAGTCAAAAGAAGGTGCCAAAAGAAGTAAAAGATGCCTATATACATCATTGACAGGTTTATTGCACAGGTTATTTAATAGTAATTGCACATTATTTATTGCACAAGTTTTTCTAGTTATAGTGCCGTGTAAAGTCTGATTGCAGTAGGGATGAATGCTCCTTTTTACAAACAGGCTGTATAAGTCTTTCGCTAAAGGAGCTGATCAGCACCTCTACAGTCTGCTGCAGAGGGTGAGAGGAGTTATCCATGATGGATGAAGGAAGAAGAGGCGCTGGTGCTCTGCTGCACCTTCTTGACTAGTTGTGAACAGCTGGTCTTCCAGGTCAGGTCATCTGAGATGAGGATGAAGAAAAACAAGCCAGGGTTTTTATCTGTGAAGATTCTCAGCCATCCAGGTCGCAGACAAACTTGAAAGGTTCAGTTTGGGCAACTGGACGAGAAGATTTCTGCAAGACGAAGCTTCTTAGTTTCTAACTAGTAGTAAAGGAGGGTTGAAAAGCTTGTTTTAACTTTTTTTTACCTGGATTATATCCACCTGTGACTGACAGTCTATGGGTGGAAGGCGGGAGGCATTCTACTGTCAGTCAATAAAAGATCCTCCACAGAAATTAAGCATAAATAAAAATAATAATGTTGAAGCATATTTATATTTTACCATTTATATATATATAAAAACATAACTTAGAATACTTTTTTGCATCACTTTTAGATTTCTTATCAATTTTTTTGTTTATTTAATTAGTCATATACAGTAAAACATTTTATAATAAGAAATTCAAACTCATCCACAACTTAGATCTAGTTAATTTAAAAATAACTTAAAGTTAGAGTAGTAGTACTAACTACTTTATTTTTTTGGCAGGAGTATATGAAGGACCAACTCTGCCATATTTAAAAATAAATACAGAAATAAATAAATGCTCAATAAATGTATAAGCATACAATTAATTGCCAACAAAAAAGTGAGACATAAATGTATATAACTCTTAATTAGCTTCTTTATTTATTTGACTTTGTAATATTTACCTTATTTATTTTTCTGTCCTTTATAATCTTAAACTTTATTTTTTAATTACTTATATTTTTAAGTATTTATTTATGTGCATGTTATTATATTTTTGTCTGTTTTATTCTTCCTTTGTATTTTTTTAC